AATATGGAAAATGGTGCATTGGCCAGGTCGGTCAGTATGGGAACTTAGAGTGCAAATGCCAGGGAGAACGGAAGCGCTCAGATCTCGCATAGTACACGGAATCTAGTGGTCTAACTCAAATAGAAGGTAGGAAATAAATTCATTTAGTGAACGTAACGGTTTGAAAGGTAACTAACGCACATGTGTAGAGAAAATGGTGCATCGGCCAGTCTGGCCGGCATTTCGCACTTATAGTGCTAGTAGGGCCAAGGAGAACGGAAACGCTCATTTCTCAAAAAGTAAAGGGAATCTAGTGGTCTCACTCGATCAGAAGGTGGGAAATATATAAATCTAGTGAGCTAATAAGGTTTGAAAGGAATCTAATGCATATTTATATGGAAAATGGTGCATTGGCCAGGTCGGTCAGTATGGGAACTTAGAGTGCAAATGCCAGGGAGAACGGAAGCGCTCAGATCTCGCATAGTACACGGAATCTAGTGGTCTCACTCAAATAGAAGGTAGGAAATAAATTCATCTAGTGAACGTAAGGGTTTGAAAGGTAACTAACGCACATGTGTAGAGAAAATGGTGCATCGGCTAGTCTGGCCGGCATTTCGCACTTATAGTGCAAGTAGGGCCAAGGAGAACGGAAACGCTCATTTCTCAAAAAGTAAAGGGAATCTAGTGGTCTCACTCGATCAGAAGGTGGGAAATATATAAATCTACTGAGCTAATAAGGTTCGAAAGGAATCTAATGCATATGTATATGGAAAATGGTGCATTGGCCAGGTCGTTCAGTATGGGAACTTAGAGTGCAAATGCCAGGGAGAACGGAAGCGCTCAGATCTCGCATAGTACACGGAATCTAGTGGTCTAACTCAAATAGAAGGTAGGAAATAAATTCATTTAGTGAACGTAAGGGTTTGAAAGGTAACTAACGCACATGTGTAGAGAAAATGGTGCATCGGCCAGTCTGGCCAGCATTTCGCACTTATAGTGCAAGTAGGGCCAAGGAGAACGGAAACGCTCATTTCTCAAAAAGTAAAGGGAATCTAGTGGTCTCACTCGATCAGAAGGTGGGAAATATATAAATCTAGTGAGCTAATAAGGTTCGAAAGGAATCTAATGCATATGTATATGGAAAATTGTGCATTGGCTAGGTCAGTCAGTATGGGAACTTAGAGTGCAAATGCCAGGGAGAACGGAAGCGCTCAGATCTCGCATAGTACACGGAATCTAGTGGTCTCACTCAAATAGAAGGTAGGAAATAAATTCATCTAGTGAACCTAAGGGTTTGAAAGGTAACTAACGCACATGTGTAGAGAAAATTGTGCATCGGCCAGTCTGGCCGGCATTTCGCACTTATAGTGCAAGCAGGGCCAAGGAGAACGGAAACGCTCATTTCTCAAAAAGTAAAGGGAATCTAGCAGTCTCACTCGATCAGAAGGTGGGAAATATATAAATCTAGTGAGCTAATAAGGTTCGAAAGGAATCTAATGCATATGTATATGGAAAGTGGTGCATTGGCCAGGTCGGTCAGTATGGGAATTTAGAGTGCAAATGCCTGGGAGAACGGAACCGCTCAGATCTCGCATAATACACGGAATCTAGTGGTCTCACTCAAATATAAGGTAGGAAATATATTCATCTAGTGAACGTAAGGGTTTGAAAGGTAAGTAACGCACATGTGTAGAGAAAATGGTGCATCGGCCAGTCTGGCCGGCATTTCGCCACTATAGTGCAAGTAGGGCCAAGGAGAACGGAAACACTCATTTCTCAAAAAGTAAAGGGAATCTAGCGGTCTCACTCGATCAGAAGGTGGGAAATATATAAATCTAATGAGGTAATAAGGTTCGAAAGGAATCTAATGCATATGTATATGGAAAATGGTGAGAAAGTACGAACGAGAAGTGAATGACTATGAAAAAGAAGTGGGTACAAATAGGAAACCCTAATTGGGTTGTACCCCCTATGGGATACCCCACTATAGCCTACAGAAATAAGTAAGCTATATGTTCTGACACACCCCCATAGGCAAAGTGGGGGAGAACAAGGGGTCACAAGACCAGTCAAGCAAAGCAAAGCATAGCTCAGGGTGGATCACAAAGTCACCACGCATTCCGAGCACAAGTTCAAAGGCCAGAAGGCCAGTTCACATGCAAGATCATATATAGAGATATACAAGAGTCAAGCAAGCAAGAGCAAGAGTATATATAGGTGAAGGTACAAGCAAGGTCAAGAGCAGAGCAAGTGAGGCAAGACAGGCACAAGACCCAACTGCGTGCAACAACGCTGATGATCACAAGGCGCAAGTGCCTTGGTGAAGACATCAGCAGTGTTGGCCTCAGAGGCCACGTACGCAAGTCGCAACTGTCCACGCTGCTGTAGCTCACGAGCAAGAAAGTAGCGGAGAGCAATGTGCTTCGTTCTGTGCTCCAGTCGCTGCTCTCGACACAAGGCCAGCATGGCCTTGTTGTCTACGTACAGGACTGGAGGAGAACGAGGCGGCTCTCCAAGGTCGGTCAGCAGGTAGGTGAGCCAGCGTAACTCCTGTGCAGCCATAGCCCCAGCGTAGATCTCAGCCTCACAACTGGAGCCGAGAACAGAAGACGAGCGGGTAGCCCGCCACGAGACAGAGCCGGAACCAAGGCTGAAGGAGTAACCCTGTGACGACCGCTGCGTAGCCTGGTCGTCAGCCCAAGAAGCGTCTGCGTGCCCAGTGAGGACCACTGGACTGCGCCCTCCAAGCACTAGCCCCATGCCCGACGTACTGCACAAGTAGCGCAACACCCTCTTTGCTGCAGCCATGTGCTCTGGTCGGTGTCTCCCAGGAGCAACAAAGCGTGCGAGAATGCTAAGAGGGTATGCGAGGTCAGGTCGTGTGCAGGTCATCAAGTACATGAGGCAGCCAACAAGCTCTGCAAACGGGCCACTCGACTCTACGGACTCATCCGAAGGCAGAGCTGAGAGTGAGTGGCGAGTAGGCAGAGGAGTGGCCTGAGGCGAGGAGTACGTGAAGCCGAAGCGCTGAAGGACCTGCTGCACCATGTGTGACTGAGTCAGGGTAATGGTGCGGCGTGCTCTATCCCGGGTGATCTGCAAGCCAAGGTAGCTGCGCAGTTCACCCAGGTCAGTGCACGTGTGTCTCTTCTGCAGCTCAGACTTCACGTAGGCGAGTCCAGCAGTGTCAGCTGTGGCAAAGACCAAGTCGTCGACGTACACGAGGATGTAGAACGGCGGCAGAGAGGTGTCGGTGCGCAGAAACAGCGACGGGTCGGCAGTAGAAGGAGCAAACCCAAGTGCCGCGAGCGTAGTCCTCAGTGTGTCGTGCCACTCACGTGGCGCCTGGCGGAGACCGTAGACTGGACGCCGGAGACTCCACTGGGTACCAGGAGGGAAAGACCCAGTGAAGCCAGGTGGGCGGCGCAGCCAGATCTCCTCGTGCAGGCTGCCCTGCAAGAAAGCTGTGCTGAAGTCGAGAGAGTGCAGCTCATAGTCACGGTTAGCAGCAACGTGCAGCAGAACCCGAAGAGTGGTCATCTTCGGGGTGGGGGAGAAGGTCTGGAAGTAGTCAACCCCCTGCCGCTGACTGAAGCCACGAGCCACGTAGCGCGCCTTGAAGACAGGCGGAGAACCCGGCGGCCGCTTCACCCTGAAAATCCACATGCCACTGACGATGTTCGCCCCAGGAGGGGGTACAGCGTCAACGTAGGTGCCTGTGGACTTCCAGGAAGCCATCTCTGCATCCATAGCTGCCTGCCACTGAGAGGAGTAGGGACCCTCTATCGCCTCCGCGTAAGAGCGCGGAGTCGGGATGTCTGGTGCATCCGGGTCTCCCTCAGGGGCTAGCAGTACAGACGCGAGACGAGGTGAAGCGGCAGCCAGACACTGGAACTCCTCCTGCCTGTCCTCAAGGACGTCCATGCCAAGGGCACACTCACCCCCGACGGACGGAGGACAGGCGGACTCAGACTCAGTGACAAGACGAGCAGCGTAGTCGAGACGACAGCGCGCAGCAAAGTCGACAAGCTCAGTGACAAGGGCAGACGCAGCAGACGACTCGAAGGAAGGGTCAGTGACAGCAGTAGCAAGGAGACGCGTGACAGTAGGACTGGCAGCACGAAGAGAGTCCGACTCCGGGTCGGCAAGAGCAGGAAGAGAGGAAGCAGGAGGAGAAGGCAAAGGGGCACGCAGAGGAGCAGTGGACGGACGCAGCGACATCCGGTGCGTGCCAGGGACAGGAGGAGGACGCTGACGCGAACCGCGACCACTAGCGCGCGCAGGACGAACAGGCGACGCAGGACGAGACGCAGGCTCACGACGCTCAGTAAGACCTCCAGTCGGACCAGCGTAGGGAGAAGGAGCAGGCAAAGGGGAGGCAGGCTGTAGCTGTGGCTGTGACTGGACAGGCTGCGGACCCTCTACGGGAGGAGGAGAAGGTGTAAGACCAAGAACTTGCTGAAGGAGCGGAACGAAGTAAGGTCGGGGCCGCGCGGCGACGCTAGAAACAGCTGGAACAGCGCCAGCAGCCCCGGCCGGAGCACCCACTCCAGCAGCACCTCCAGCAGCACCACCAGAGGCCCCAGAAGCAGCACCAGGAGTACCCGCAGGCGGACCGCCAGCGGCAGGCTCAGCGACAACACCCTCAGCAGTACCAGCTCCAGGAGAACTCTCAGACCCAGCAGCTCCAACACCCAAAGGACGAGCACCGTCGGGACGCGCGACAGCAGTACCCTCTGCAGCCGAAGAACCACCAGCACCAGCAGCACGCCTCCAGCGCCTGGCAAACCACTCACGCAGCTCCGGTGGGGAGAGTGGCTCCCGGCGAGACGAAGCACCCCCAGGCTCAGCACCCCCAGGCTCAGTACCCCCAGGCTCAGCACCCCCAGGCTCAGCACCCCCAGGCACAGCACCCCCAGGCTCAGCACCCCCAGGCTCAGCACCCCCAGGCTCAGCACCCCCAGGCTCAGCACCCCCAGCAGCACCAGAGTCCCCAGTGACCTCGACAGGCGCGACCGCGTCTACCTGGGACACACCTGAAGGGGCAGGACCCTGAGGGGGGAGGGGGACTACCGGAGGGGGGCCTGGGACCAAGAAGAGCGGGGGTGGGGGGAGGGACGGAGTGCGGTAGGGGAAGAGGCGGTAGTAGGGTACCGACTCGTCGAACGTGACGTCCTGGGAGGACAGAACACGTCGAGAGGTGGGGTGGTAGAACTGCCACCCAGGGGCGTCGGGGGGGAACCCCAGGAAGACGCAGGGAGCAGCGCGAGGGGACAGCTTGTCCGCAGACAAGTCGCGGACAAACGCCCGAGATCCCCAGACCCGGAACGCCGACGCATCGCCAACCTTCCCCGTCCACATCAAGACTGGGGACATCGCGGGTCGAGAGACCCGGGGGTGAAGGTTGATCTGATGCGCGGCGTACCTGACCGCAAACGGCCACAGAAAATGGGGGGCAGCCGCATGCATCATGGACGTACGAGCGACGTCCATGACCATGCCAATGCGGCGCTCAGCAATCCCATTCTGCTGTGGTGAGTCCGGAAGCGTGAAGGTCTGACGAATGCCTCGCGCACGACAGTAGGCACTCAGGAGGCCAGAGGAGAACTCTCCGCCTCTGTCCGAGTGCAGACGCAAAACAGGAAAGTCAGAGCCAAAGCTCCTCCGAAGCTGGAGACGAGCTGCGCGGATCCAAACAATCAACACCTCAGTGACCTCACCCTTGCTGCGCAAGGGGAAGACTGTGGTGTAACGCGAGTAGTCGTCAACCACCAGCAGGAAGTAGCGCTCCTGACCCTGTCCACAGACGCGGGCTGGGCCCCACACGTCCATGTGAAGCGTCTGCAACGGGGCCTCTGTCGGAGGAAACTGGGAGGAGTGAGGGGCAGCACGCTGGCGCCCCTCGACACAGGGGACACAGGCAGGGCCAGGGCCCGGAGGAAAGGGAGGTAGGGACCGGGGAAGACCAGACACAAGGACTCGCGAGGCCATGCCTCTGAGCCGAAGCAGAGAGGGGTGGCCAAGGCGGTGGTGCCAGAGGAGGGTCTCGTGAGACAGACGACGACACGAGCAGGGGGCAGACTCAGGACCGGACCTGGACGCTGCAGCAAACACCTGACCAGACGAAGGGACCCTACCAGACGTAGTACCTGGAGGAGAAGCAGTGGTCAGTGTGTACAGGCTCGACCCTGGCCGACGTGTGAACGTAGCCAGGTGGCGACCTGTATCCGCCTCAGTGCAGTGAGTCACCCGCTGACGAGCAGGGGTGAACTGGTGGACACCCGCATCCTGGAGGTCAGCACCACTCACCAAGTTCGTCGAGAACGAGGGGAGGTAGAGACCAGTCAGGGTGCCAGAGGGGGCCGCCGGACACGGGAGGACAGTGGAGAAGCGAGACAGGACAGGCCCCCCAGAGGGGTCAGCCAGGGACACCGCAACCGGCCGACTCAGTGGCGTGAGAGTGGTGCGGTCCCGAAAGAAGGAGCGAGACGCTCCAGAGTCAAGGGTGAAGGTGTGAGAGGCCGAAGCCGACACAGTACCTGAGAGGGCAGACTCACCAGCACCTGAGAGCACAGACGCACTGGCACCTAGAGCAGCAGCCTCACTAGTACCTGACGCGGCAGTACCAATGCCCGGGTCGGGCGGGAAACACCGGTAACAGTCATCCTCATCACTACCAGTCACAGCATACATAGCAGAGAGAATAGCATCAAAGTCAAGATCATAAATGGCTACACCAGCCCTAGACAGTTCCCCCCAGCGGGGGATCTCAGCGGCCTCCGGAAACTGCTGACGCCAGGCGTCGGTCAGGCGGCCAAAGCAGCGGCGCGCTGTGTGGGTGCCTCCACACCTCTCCCCCGCACGGTCGCCGGAGCGAAGAACGTAGGGGCAGGGACCAAACGCACCACCACGCTGACGCTGCAAGTACCACTCACGGAGCTGCTGAGGGGCGGGGACGGTGCGAGACCGCTGCTGCTGCTGCTGCTGCTGCTGGCGCTGACCACCCCCAGAGCTGCTCCGCTGGGACGAGCCACTCCGACCCCCGCCGCCTCCGCCACTCCCGCCTCCACCGCCACTCCCACCTCCACCGCCACCCCCGTCTCCACCGCCACCGCCCCCACCGGTACCCTCGCCCCCGCCTCCTCCGCTGCCGCCTCCGCCGCCACCTCCGCCTCCACCTCCTCCACCGGTACCCCCACTCCCGCCACCACCTCCACCGCCACCCCCACTCCCCCCGCCACCCCCACCTCCTCCGCCACTGCCTCCTCTAGATCCACCCGCTCCCTTGCCCCCCTTGCCCTTGCCAGAGCGGCGTCTGCCGCTGGGGGCAGACGCCGCACCGACCGACTCAAAACCAGCGAGGTCGGCCGTAGCAGCAGAGGCGACAGAGGGCAGCAGGGGGGAAGGAGAACACCCCTCAAAGATGGGGGTGCGAGGGTCACCCCTAGAGGCCCCTACAGCGACTATACTCTTCTCAGCCGCTAGCAGGGACTCCTCAAGGAGGTCGACAGTGAGGGTGGTGGGACAGACAGCGAGAAACTGGTCCCTAACGACACGAAGGGACTCAGGAAGACGGGTGACGAGAAAGTAGAGAGTGATATACATGGGAGGAGGGTTTGCGGCGCGGAACTCAGCAGGAAGGGCAGCGCGGTAGCGAGCGTCACTAGTGCGGAGGTGGGTAACGAGGTCAGCGACAGTGGGAAAGGAAGCGAGGTCAGGGAAGAGAAACGGTAGCATGAGGCGGCTAAGGGTAGCGGAGGAAGGAGAGGAGTAGCGTGCAACTACAGCGTCGTACAAGGCCTGAGCGGTCTTGCACTGACTAAAGTGGGCACGCTCAGAGGAAGGGAGGTGGCGACGCACAGCAAGACGTGCAGCAGCATCGCGGGTCGCCCACTTGGAGCGAACGGCAGAGTCAGCATCAGCAGGCGGGGCAGGGACAGCTCCAGAGACAAAGTCAAAGAGAGAGACCTCATCTATCGCATCACACAGTAAGTACAGCTGCAGGTCTTCAATCCAGACGGCAAAGTCAATGGCCCTCCCCTCAGCGTCAAAAGTAAGAACATTGGGGGTGGCCATGGCAGCAGCTGAAAGTCTCACCGGGCTGGAAGAGTCGGGTAGGTCAGCAGCAGAGGAACACAGCTCAGGGACAGCAGCACGGCTCCTCAGGTGGCTCGCGTGGCTCAGGCGGCTCGGGCGGCTCGGGCGGCTCGGGCGGCTCGCGCGGCTCGGGTGGCGTAGGGGCTGACGGGCGGCGCGGGCTGCTGGGGCTGCTCACGTGCAGTACGGCGGGCTGCAGCAGGGCCGGTGGTGGGCTGTAGCAGGGCCGGTGGCGGGCTGTAGCAGGGCCGGTGGCGGGCTGCAGCAGGGCCGGCGGCGGCTGTAGCAGGGCCGGTGGCGGGCTGTAGCAGGGCCGGTGGCGGGCTGTAGCAGGGGCCGGTGGCGGCTGTAGCAGGGCCGGTGGCGGGCTGTAGCAGGGCCGGCGGCGGGCTGTAGTAGGGGCCGGTGGCGGCTGTAGCAGGGCCGGTGGCGGGCTATAGCAGGGGCCGGTGCGGGCTGTAGTGGGGCCGACGAGGGGCCGAAGTGGGGCCTAGGCGGGCCGGCGGGCTGTAGGCGGGGCCGACGCGGCGGGCTGTAGCAGGGGCCGGTGGCGGGCCTAAGCGGGGCCAGCGCGGGGCCGACAGGGCGTAGGTGGGGCCGACGCGGGGCCGAAGAGGGGCCTAAGCGGGGCCGACGGAGCCTACGCGGGGCCGACACGGGGCCGAGACGGGGCCTGGGCGGGGCCTACGCGGGGCCGACGAGGTGTACGCGGGGCCGACGAGGTGTACGCGGGGCCGACGAGGTGTACGCGGGGCCGACGAGGTGTACGCGGGGCCGACGAGGTGTACGCGGGGTCGACGAGGTGTACGCGGGGTCGACGAGGGGTACGCGGGGCCGACGAGGTGTACGCGGGGCCGACGAGGTGTACGCGGGGCCGACGAGGTGTACGCGGGGTCGACGAGGGGTACGCGGGGCCGACGAGGGGTACGCGGGGCCTACGCGGGGCCGACGAGGGGTACGCGGGGCCTACGCGGGGCCTACGTGGGGCCGACGAGGGGTACGCGGGGCCTACGCGGGGCCGACGAGGGGTACGCGGGGCCGACGAGGGGTACGCGGGGCCTACGCAGGGCCGACGAGGGGTACGCGGGGCCGACGAGGGGCCTAAGCAGGGGCCGACGAGGGGCCTAAGCGGGGCCGACGAGGGGCCTAAGCGGGGCCGACGAGGGGCCTAAGCGGGGGGCCGACGAGGGGCCTAAGCGGGGGGCCGACGAGGGGCCTAAGCGGGAGCACGACGGGAGGGGCGACTCGGAGGGTCGCTAAAAAAAATGCGCGCCTCGGGGCGCGCTTCGGTGGGCCCTAGGAACAGGCCCTAGGAAGGGACCTGCTCTGATTCCATGAGAAAGTACGAACGAGAAGTGAATGACTATGAAAAAGAAGTGGGTACAAATAGGAAACCCTAATTGGGTTGTACCCCCTATGGGATACCCCACTATAGCCTACAGAAATAAGTAAGCTATATGTTCTGACAAATGGTGCATTGGCCAGGTCGGTCAGTATGGGAACTTAGAGTGCAAATGCCAAGGAGAACGGAAGCGCTCAGATCTCGCATAGTACACGGAATCTAGTGGTCTCACTCAAATAGAAGGTAGGAAAAAAATTCATCTAGTGAACGTAAGGGTTTGAAAGGTAACTAACGCACATGTGTATAGAAAATTGTGCATCGGCCAGTCTGGCCGGCATTTTGCACTTATAGTGCAACTAGGGCCAATGAGAACGGAAACGCTGATTTCTCAAAAAGTAGAGGGAATCTAGCGGTCTCACTCGATCAGAAGGTGGGAAATATATAAATCTAGTGAGCTAATAAGGTTCGAAAGGAATCTAATGCATATTTATATGGAAAATGGTGCATTGGCCAGGTCGGTCAGTATGGGAACTTAGAGTGCAAATGCCAGGGAGAACAGAAGCGCTCAGATCTCGCATAGTACACGGAATCTAGTGGTCTAACTCAAATAGAAGGTAGGAAATATATTCATCTAGTGAACGTAAGGGTTTGAAAGGTAACTAACGCACATGTGTAGAGAAAATGGTGCATCGGCCAGTCTGGCCGGCATTTCGCACTTATAGTGCAAGTAGGGCCAAGGAGAACGGAAACGCTCATTTCTCAAAAAGTAAAGGGAATCTAGTGGTCTCACTCGATCAGAAGGTGGGAAATATATAAATCTAGTGAGCTAATAAGGTTCGAAAGGAATCTAATGCATATGTATATGGAAAATGGTGCATTGGCCAGGTCAGTTAGTATGGGAACTTAGAGTGCAAATGCCAGGGAGAACGGAAGCGCTCAGATCTCGCATAGTACACGGAATCTAGTGGTCTCACTCAAATAGAAGGTAGGAAATAAATTCATCTAGTGAACCTAAGGGTTTGAAAGGTAACTAACGCACATGTGTAGAGAAAATTGTGCATCGGCCAGTCTGGCCGGCATTTCGCACTTATAGTGCAAGCAGGGCCAAGGAGAACGGAAACGCTCATTTCTCAAAAAGTAAAGGGAATCTAGCGGTCTCACTCGATCAGAAGGTGGGAAATATATAAATCTAGTGAGCTAATAAGGTTCGAAAGGAATCTAATGCATATGTATATGGAAAGTGGTGCATTGGCCAGGTCGGTCAGTATGGGAATTTAGAGTGCAAATGCCTGGGAGAACGGAACCGCTCAGATCTCGCATAATACACGGAATCTAGTGGTCTCACTCAAATATAAGGTAGGAAATATATTCATCTAGTGAACGTAAGGGTTTGAAAGGTAAGTAACGCACATGTGTAGAGAAAATGGTGCATCGGCCAGTCTGGCCGGCATTTCGCCACTATAGGGCAAGTAGGGCCAAGGAGAACGGAAACGCTCATTTCTCAAAAAGTAAAGGGAATCTAGCGGTCTCACTCGATCAGAAGGTGGGAAATATATAAATCTAATGAGGTAATAAGGTTCGAAAGGAATCTAATGCATATGTATATGGAAAATGGTGCATTGGCCAGGTCGGTCAGTATGGGAACTTAGAGTGCAAATGCCAAGGAGAACGGAAGCGCTCAGATCTCGCATAGTACACGGAATCTAGTGGTCTCACTCAAATAGAAGGTAGGAAATAAATTCATCTAGTGAACGTAAGGGTTTGAAAGGTAACTAACGCACATGTGTATAGAAAATTGTGCATCGGCCAGTCTGGCCGGCATTTTGCACTTATAGTGCAACTAGGGCCAATGAGAACGGAAACGCTGATTTCTCAAAAAGTAGAGGGAATCTAGCGGTCTCACTCGATCAGAAGGTGGGAAATATATAAATCTAGTGAGCTAATAAGGTTCGAAAGGAATCTAATGCATATTTATATGGAAAATGGTGCATTGGCCAGGTCGGTCAGTATGGGAACTTAGAGTGCAAATGCCAGGGAGAACAGAAGCGCTCAGATCTCGCATAGTACACGGAATCTAGTGGTCTAACTCAAATAGAAGGTAGGAAATAAATTCATTTAGTGAACGTAAGGGTTTGAAAGGTAACTAACGCACATGTGTAGAGAAAATGGTGCATCGGCCAGTCTGGCCGGCATTTCGCACTTATAGTGCAAGTAGGGCCAAGGAGAACGGAAACGCTCATTTCTCAAAAAGTAAAGGGAATCTAGTGGTCTCACTCGATCAGAAGGTGGGAAATATATAAATCTAGTGAGCTAATAAGGTTCGAAAGGAATCTAATGCATATGTATATGGAAAATGGTGCATTGGCCAGGTCAGTTAGTATGGGAACTTAGAGTGCAAATGCCAGGGAGAACGGAAGCGCTCAGATCTCGCATAGTACACGGAATCTAGTGGTCTCACTCAAATAGAAGGTAGGAAATAAATTCATCTAGTGAACGTAAGGGTTTGAAAGGTAACTAACGCACATGTGTAGAGAAAATTGTGCATCGGCCAGTCTGGCCGGCATTTCGCACTTATAGTGCAAGCAGGGCCAAGGAGAACGGAAACGCTCATTTCTCAAAAAGTAAAGGGAATCTAGCGGTCTCACTCGATCAGAAGGTGGGAAATATATAAATCTAGTGAGCTAATAAGGTTCGAAAGGAATCTAATGCATATGTATATGGAAAGTGGTGCATTGGCCAGGTCGGTCAGTATGGGAATTTAGAGTGCAAATGCCTGGGAGAACGGAACCGCTCAGATCTCGCATAATACACGGAATCTAGTGGTCTCACTCAAATAGAAGGTAGGAAATATATTCATCTAGTGAACGTAAGGGTTTGAAAGGTAAGTAACGCACATGTGTAGAGAAAATGGTGCATCGGCCAGTCTGGCCGGCATTTCGCACTCATAGTGCAAGTAGGGCCAAGGAGAACGGAAACGCTCATTTCTAAAAAAGTAAAGGGAATCTAGCGGTCTCACTCGATCAGAAGGTGGGAAATATATAAATCTAGTGAGGTAATAAAGTTCGAAAGGAATCTAATGCATATGTATATGGAAAATGGTGCATTGGCCAGGTCGGTCAGTATGGGAACTTAGAGTGCAAATGCCAAGGAGAACGGAAGCGCTCAGATCTCGCATAGTACACGGAATCTAGTGGTCCCACTCAAATATAAGGTAGGAAATAAATTCATCTAGTGAACGTAAGGGTTTGAAAGGTAACTAACGCACATGTGTACAGAAAATTGTGCATCGGCCAGTCTGGCCGGCATTTCGCACTTATAGTGCAAGTAGAGCCAAGGAGAACGGAAACGCTCATTTCTCAAAAAGTAGAGGGAATCTAGCGGTCTCACTCGATCAGAAGGTGGGAAATATATAAATCTAGTGAGCTAATAAGGTTTGAAAGGAATCTAATGCATATGTATATGGAAAATGGTGCATTGGTCAGGTCGGTCAGTATGGGAACTTAGAGTGCAATGCCAGGGAGAACGGAAGCGCTCAGATCTCGCATTGTACACGGAATCTAGTGGTCTCACTCAAAAAGAAGGTAGAAAATAAATTCATCTAGTGAACATAAGGGTTTGAAAGGTAACTAACGCACAT